ATTCCATTCCAAAGGGGAAAATCCTGTTATTTTCAAAAAAACAGATGAACTTAGGGTACATTATATTAAGTGAATAAAGCCAGGAATAGAAAGACAAATACATAATCTGACTTACATGTGGAATCTAACCAAGTCGAATTCATTACAAATGGAGAATAGAATGGCAGTTATCAGAAGTGAGGACAGGGAGTGAAAGGGTAAAAAGGAGATGATGATTAAAGGCTACAAAGTTTCATTTATATAGGAAGAATAATTTTAGTGATCTCTCACATAGAGTGGAGGCTACATATTTGAAAACTGCTGAACAGGAAGATTTGAAATGTATTATCACAAAAATAATTACTTGAGGTGAGGACTTTATGAATTAGCCTGATTTAATAAAACACAACATCATATCCTATAAACAAATAGAATTATTGTCAGTTAATAAAATTAAAAACCAATCAGCCATTAAAAACATGAGAATGTGCTATATTATTAGAGTCATCAAGAAAATACAAAATAAGAACAGTGTAAAACCACTGGAATAGCTAAATAAAAAAGGTTGAGAACATCAGGTTTTGTTAAGGATATAAAAGAACTAAAATTTTCATATGTTCCTATTAAAAGTATAAAATAATACAATCACTTTGAGAAATATTTTTCAGTTTTTATAAACAAATACCATTGACTTGGCAATTCTATTTTTAGGAATTAGGGATAATGGACCAAAACTGTTAAATAAATAGGTGAAATAACAATGTGATAGATCTACATAATGAAATATTACTCCAAAATTAAAAGGAACAAAATACTGTGCCATAAAACAATGTGGATGAATTATAAAACTATTACACTGAAAACATACAGATATAAAAAATAAATGCTGTATCATTCCATTTAAATTATTTTCTAGATCAGACCAAACTGAATCAGAAGTTGCTTGGAGATGAGGAAAGTGGTAAGGACTGCAAACAGACGAAAGTAAATTTTGGAGGATAATGAAAAAAATCTACATTTTAATTGTGCCAATAGTTTCAAAACTTCATCAAAATCCTTTATACTTAAAATGGATGTATCTTATTGTATGAAAGTTATATCTCAACAAATTTAAGTTTAAAAATTGATTAAAAGTAAGGAAGGAAACATATTCTACCAGATGGTAAAACATAGGAATTAAAACAATGTGCTATGCATCCAAGTAATTCAGACCCATGTATCTAAAAAACCCGAGTATCTTTTCTACCTTGTAATCAAATAAATTTATAATATTTCTAGTGCCATTAAATACTGAATTATCCAGAAACACTGTACTGTCAACCTTTCCCGTTCATTTTGTTTTAAGGGCTTCCCTGTCGAGTAAGCAATCAAACTCACCCAGTGTTCTGTCTGTAGCATTAACAGACATTGTCACCATGCTCCCCATTCTGTTGTGAATACCACAGCTTATTCTAGATGCCAACAGCTTATTGTCTAGATGAGTTCTTCACTACAGTTTAAGCTTGTTTATAACTGTTATGGCTTTTGTCTAGATGTCCCGCCAAAGCCTCATAAGGTCATAGGTGGGGATTTTTCAGAGGTGGCTTGATCTAGACTGTGTGATTGATTCATGGGGCAATGTTAGGATTAAGGGTGCTAGGATTAAGGGTATGAGTGCTACCGGCCCTAAGGGAGAGTATCCTGGATAAGATATATGGAGAAAAAACAGGCTTGCTGCTACTTACTTGAGGTTGGCCACTTGCTTGCTTTTGCTGTCTTCTGCCTGACATGAAATGTTTCTCCTCTGAGATGTCCTTGTGCCATGCCACCCTGCCTTGGAGCCAGCCAACTATGAATTGAAAACTTACAAACTATGAATCTTTCCTTCCTTAACTTTGGGTGTTGGGCATTTTGTCTCAGCAATGAGAAAAGTCACTGACAACACTGACAATTAACTCTTCAAACTGTAAAATATAGACACTATTTTCTGGTTTATGTTTCAAACTGATTTACTTTCCATCATTATTCTGCATGATCCTAAGTCATATTTAAGGTGTATAATATTTATGAAAAACAATAAAACTATTAATGTCTTTTCCTAGTTATCAGACTTACTTGTTCATTACCACAATCACAGATTTCATTTCCTTCCACTATGCCATTTCCACATACTGGCCTTGGATTTCTTTGCATCTGTGGTTTGTTCTGAAGACATCTGGCTCCCACATATGAAATGAAACTTCTAAACTCATTCAAATTGCAATTGCTAAAAGTCTTTGCACCAGTGGATTGTCTAAAAGTGAACCCATACAACATCATTATCAATATACTTCTGAAATCGTAAGTAATATATTTAATTTCATAGACAATATCATATGCACCTAACATTCATAACAGTTGTTGAGGAGGTCATATGGCTTCATTCACTAGAATGTATGATTTTATTAAAACAAAATTAGATACAAATCAATAGTTTAAAAAACAATCTACAAATAAGAAAAAGAATTAAACAGATAAGGCTTCACTTAAAAATTTACACTCAATTAACAACTCATTTTATTAAACAAACTATATCCTAGTTAGTCCAGAACTTCCTCAAAGATCTCAGAGAAACTGTACAATTATTAAAATGTTATATAGTTAAATTTGTAAAGCATTAGTAAAGATAACTTCTGGGAATGCTTTCATAGGATGTCTGGGTACAGATTACAAATGAGAACCAGAAAGAGAAAAACAGATTTACTGAATACCTATTATGAGGCCAATATTTTATATACTTGTACAATTAATCAGCACCACTAACCAGAGAGGTTGGCATGGTCCTTACAACTTCATAGAAATTGAAATGGTGTTTTTATCCATTATGGTAGATTAGAGCCAGCAGCACTCACAGAACACTCAGAAGATGCCTAACAGAATCTACAGGTGCCCAGAAAAGGAAGCAAACAAAATTCCAAATATGGAAATGCAACCTGAATGAGAAGCCTGCCAGATGTATTCCAGTATCAGGAGTACTCAGAGGAAGAAGAAGAATTGCTTCTTGCTCCTGACACTGTTACAGATGCAACAGTGTCAGGTCCAGTAAACATGCCATCTTGGGACAAGGACCTCAGCCCTGAAGGAAGCAGTAGCAGCAGGAGGACTGCTATGAGGAAAGCCCAGCAGAACAGTCACTGCTCAGTGCCACCTGTTGTAGCTCCCTTCTCCCTGGAAGACAGTCCAGCAAGTGACATGTTCACAGGAACAAGCATCCTCAGCTTAGCACACTAAGAAAGGCTAGGGCTAGAGAATCACTCAGTGGGCAGGGACTCTGGATCAGCGTACCCTAGGGAAAACGAGGGGAACAGAAATGTCCAATCTTGGGGTAGGGGTGGTCAAAATTTGAAGGTAAGGTTGAGGTACAGATCATGTACTCAGAAATACCTTAAAAACCACAAAACACCATGGAAACTAGATCAAAGAGCTAAAGATGACTAAAAAAGAAAAAAGTATTATAGAATTTAGGGGAGAGTTAGAATAAAATTTATTCACTGAAATCACAGTGTAAAAATTTATAAATATAAGGAAAGAATTCCATGCAATATAGCTGTATCTCTTCTGGGTGTCTCCCTGAAATAGTTCAAGGCATCCTATTACAGTGATACATGCATACCCATGTTTAAAGTAGCACAATTCATAGTAGCTGAAATATGGAAGCAGCCTATACACCCTTCAATAAATGAATGTGTAAAGGAAAGCAAATGTGATATACATACATACTACTACTACTCAGCCGTAAAGAAAGGTAAGTGGAGTCACTTGTAGGCCACTGGATGCATTTTGAGAGAAAATGCTAAGTGAAATAGGGCTTGTTTGTCTCTCAGGATCTTCCTGTCTTCTACCATTTTCCTCCACAATTTCATTTCATTCAATATAAAATATTACATATCTACATAGGGTTATACTGAAAATTAAACATCAAACAAGGGAAGGGCTTGTTCACCTCTAGCTTATGGTAGGTAACTACAGCATTGGTGAAAGAAGATGAGTTTGGCCATTATTTAACTGTCCATTAATTTTAGTCTCTTAGGATTTTTGTACTACAGGTTTTTTTTCAAGCACATTATAGAAAGAATAACATATGCCCAACATGATTTCATCAAGTGCTAACATAAAATAATGTATAGTATGTCTTACAGAAATGCAAAAGAGCTATATATTTGTGGTAGTGTTAAGACTTCATAAAAGCTAAGATAATCCTTCCCCTATGCACATCACAAGAGATTTGTGCAAAACCGATGATTATATATGAGAGCATTCTGAAACATAACATACCATAAAAATCTAGAGGTTTTATTACCCCAGGTTCAAAACAGTTCAGCCACAAACCATCTGATCATGAGTAATTATTGTTTTTATATGGCAGCTTCTCATATATAAAAATGGGTATAATTGGAACTGCCTTACAGGGATGGTGAGAATCAAAAACAGTAAATTAACCTACTTAAAGTGCTTGGAATGCTTTTTAACACCTAGTAAGTACAATGTAAAGTTTTATTAATATTATATTCATTAATATTAGACTCTGACCTACAAAAACCTTTTAGCATACTTCACAGCTAAATGGATAATGAACCTTCATTTTCACAGTTTTGTGATATATATTCCATTTATCAATGTAGATAGGGTTTATATTATATGTATTTATATATATCCATAAATACACTTTCATGTATATGTATATTAGGGATATTCTCTTTAGAAATAACTCAGAATATAACTATATGAATATATGGTTGAGATTAGGATCTTTTTAGAATCTAAAAGTTAATGTTTAAGAGGCACTTAGGAGTAACTGTGAATAGAGTGTATTTTTTTTTTTTCAGGTACCAGGAATCAAACTCACGACCTAGTACTTCCCAGGCAAGCACTGTGCTGCTGAGCTAAATCCCCAGCCCCTAGAGTGTATTTTTAAAAAACACAATGTCTTCAGATACCAAAGGTGGCCAAGCAGAAGCTACCAGAAGTTCATAGCCTCTCTGTGACCTGGAATCATGACTGCTGGCAAACAGCTGTTCAGCAAGGAAAAGGAAATAAGAACTCTGTGAAGCAAGAAAGGTCCAACAGGAAAGGTAAAAATCATGGAGAAACACAAAGGCAACATAGAAAAAAACTAAGCAGTCCACAACCCTAACCCTGTCTTCTGAGGAAAGGGAACAGGATTCTGCATTACAAGGTAAGGCTCAAGAGGGCCAGCAGCTCCACTGATCAATAATAGGAAGCACTAGACCACAGAGGAAACCCGAAGCTATTGGCAAGTGTAAGTCCTGTGTGTGTAGTTGTTTGGAAATCAACCATCCTCTCATGGTAAGCTAGCTTTAGAGAATAAATCCACTACTGAGCTTACCATTTTTATCTGTTACTTTTACCTAATTTTATTGGAAGAATTTTGCCTAATACTATTTGTTGGAGACCACTACAAAGTGGCTCTAAGCAGGATTTAATACTAACCAATTGGCTTTCCATGTTTACTTGTGAGTTGTCTAAAGCTAAGATACCTTGTCTGGGTATGGGCAGTGGACTCATACTAAGTGAACCTCTATGAGTCACTGGTCACCACTGAGGCCTGTATTGGCCTATGAAGCTGTTGACGCCTCAAAGGGCAAGATAAGGCCACAGCTGAGGACTTCTGGCTCCAACCCCAGTTAACTACAAGGAGACTGCAGTTGCAGGCTCCACACTCCTACAATAAATACCAACCTAAAGATAAGGTAGTTCTCCTAATTGACATAATTTACTACTTGGGAAAAGTCTCCCAAGGTCCTGCTAGATTCCCTCATGTGCTTTACTATTCTCCTTTGTTTGAAAACAAAATAAATATGAGCTGCCCAAAGAAGTCTTTATCTAAATCCAGAGAATATCAAAGCTGTAAGAGAGTTAGACCCTTCTGGAGCCCTAAAATCATTTCAATTGTCTCATTTATTTAAGCCTTCGCCAACCACTCACTTGGGAGATAGTGGGCCTAATCAGCCCGCAATAACTAAGTGTTATTTAACCCAATAACTATCGAAGGTTTTTTGATTTATTTATCTTCTTTATCTTTTGAAGTTTTGTTTCTTTTTTTTTCCTTTCCTATTATTTCCTGTTCTTATTCTCTGGTTTCTTTTCTTTTTTTTTTGTTTTTTGTTTTTTGTTTTTCTCCAGTACCGGGAACCGAACTCACGACCTTGCGCTTGCCAGGCAGGCGCTTTTGCCGCTGAGCTAAATCCCCAGCCCCTCTGGTTTCTTTTCTTTTTCTTGTTTGTTTGTGTTTTGGATGTTACTTTTACATCCAAATTTCATTTGCTTTTATAAGTCTTCAATAGATTTTTTTTTTTTGAGATAGGGTCTCACTATGTAGTTCAGACTAGCCTTGAACTCACTATGTAGCCCAGGCTGGCCTCAAACTGAAGGTGATCCTTGTGCTTCAGCCTCCCAAGTGCTGGGATTACAGGCATGTGCCACCATGCCCAGCTCTTTCTTTCTTTTTCTTTTCTTTTTTGATAGCTGCAAGAGAAAAATGCCAAGACAATCACAAAGATGAACCCATAAGAATAACTACAGACTTCTCTGGAAGTGCTCAAAAGGCCTGGAGAGCAAAGTATGACGTATTCAAGCCCTAAAAACAAATAACTGCAAACCTAGATTAATATATCCAGAAGAGCTATCCTTCAAGGTTGAAGGAAAAATAAACACAGCATAAACTAAAGAAAATCATTACTACTAACTAACCCAGCACTAAAAAAGATACTTAAAGGAATCCTACACACAGAAGAAGAAGAAGAGGAAGGAGGAGGAATGAGGAGGAAGGAGGAGGAGGAGGAGGAGGAGGACAAAAAGAAGAGAAAGTATTGAGAATTAAGAAAGAATCAAAGAGTAGAACCACGGAATTGGTATATTTCTTCTATAATAACTCTGAATGTAAGTGGTCTTAATCTTCCAGTGAACAGACAGACTGGCAGGCTAGATTAAAACTAGACTCAATTCTTTGCTGCTTGCAAGAAATACACTTCACTAGCAAATATATGCACATATTCAAAGTGAAAAGGTGGAAAACTATGTTCCATGTAACAGAATCTGATAGCAAGAAGGCATAGCTATATTCATTTCTGATAAAACAAACCCAAATGCAAAACTAGAAGAAACAAAGACACCACATACTGGAAAAGGAAACAATCCACTCAGGAGATACAATAATCATAAATAAATATGCAGTACATATCAGTGTCTCCAAAGCCTTAGAACAAACACTGTTTAACATTAAGGAATGTGCAGGTCCCAATAAATAACAACAGGTAACTTCAGTACTTTACTCTCACTGTACGTCATCCATATTTAAAAAATCAACACAAAAAAAATCGGAGTTAAACCATCCCATATTTCCCATGAATGTAACAGATTTTTACAGAACATTCCATTCAAAAACTGCGAAATATGTATTCTTCTCAGCAGCTCATAAAACATTCTTGAAAACAGATCAGAGTCTAGGCCATAGGGCAAACCTTAACAGATACAGAACAAGACGTAATTTTTTGCATCTCCTCAGATCATAATGAAATAATTAGAAATCAAAAGTATATGTAAACTATAAAAACACATGGATATTGAACAATATCCATTTAATACAATATCCATTTAATACTACAAGGAGACTGCAGTTGCAGGCTCCACACTCCTACAATAAGTACCAACCTAAGGATAAGGTAGTTCTCCTAACTGACATAATCTACTACTTGGGAAAAGTCTCCCAAGGTCCTGCTAGATTCCCTCATGTTCTTGAGTATCCTCCTCCTTTGTTTGAAAACAAAATAAATATGGGCTTTTAAATAATCAAATTTTTTGGATTACCTTTAAGTAATCAATTTTTTTAAATAATCAAAATTTTTTGATTACTTTTAAATAATCAAAATTTTTTGTTTGTTTGTTTTTTCTGGTACCGGGAATCAAACTCACAAATTCGCACTTGCCAGGCAGGTGCTGTGCCACTGAGCTAAATCCCCAGCCCCCTCAAATTTATTTTTAATTGAAAAATTGTGAGAGATATTTTAAAAATCCTACAATCAAATGAAAATACAAACAAGACATACCAAAATCTATAAATAGCAAAGGCAGCTCTATGAAAGAAGTTTATAGGGAGCTATATCAAAAAACAAGAGAGATATCAAACAGATAACCTAACACTGCCTATCAAGAGCTAAGAAAACAAACAAAACCCAACAGAAGAAAAGAAATAATAAAGATCAGAGCTCAAATGAATGAAACAGGGACTAAACTGACCATATGCAGTATCAATGAAAGAAAGTTGGTTCTTTGAAATGCCAACAATGATAAATGCAAGATTGATAAACCATTAGCCAAACTGACTGAAAGGATGAGAGAGAAGACCCCAACTAACACAACCAGAGATGAACAGGGGGATATTACAATTGACACCACTGAAATCCAGAGGATCTTTCCAGACTAATTTGAAAACCTATATTCTAATAAACTGAACAAAGCTAGAAAAGATAGAAAAAATTCTAGACATGTTATCTACCACAATTGAACTAAGGGGATATTTAAAAAGCTAAACAGATCAATAATAATTAATTACAAAGGCAATAAAATGTCTCCTGATAAAGAAAAGCTGAGGATAAGCCTGGTTCTCTGGCAAATTTTACCAAACCTTTAAGGAACTAACACCACTGTGACTTAAACTTCGGCAAATAGAGAAGGAAAGAACACTTTCAAACTCACTCTAGGAGTTCAACATCAGCCTGACAGAAAAACCAGACAAGAAAACACCAACAGCAAGAAAAAACTATAGACCAATGTTCTCAATGAACATGGATGCAAGAATCCTTTATAAAACACTTGCAAGTCGAATTCAACAACACATTATAATGATCATATGCCCATGATCAAGTTAGTTTTAATCCAGGGATTCAAAGAAGATCAAATGTGCAAATCAGTAAAGAAAACATGTACCACAGAAATGGAATCAAATATGAAAAGCATGAAACCATCTCAAAATATGGAGAAGATGCATCAGATAAAATTCAACATCTCTTTATGATAAAAACCCTGAAGAAACTAGGTACTGAGGAGCTGTACCTCAAAATAACAAAGGATATGTGTGACAAACCCATGGACAACATTATATTAAATGGGAGAAAACAAAAAGCATTTCCTCTAAAATCAGGTAGAGCAATTAAAAAGAGAAAGAAGTTAAATGGATATCAATAGGTAACAAGAAAGTCAAATTATTCTTAAATGCAAATGATATAACCTTATAATTAGATGACCCAGAAAAACTCAAACCAAAAGACTTTCAGAACTGATAAATTTAGCAAAGCAGGATATAAAATAAACATTAAAAATTAATAACATTTCTATACACCAATAATAAACTGGCTAGAAAAGAATCAGGACAATAATTTTATTCACAATAGCTCTAAAAAGTAAATATGTATATACCTAGCCAAGAAAGTAAAAGGACTCTATAATAATTTTAGAACGCTGAAGAAAACTTAAAGAAGAGTGAAGAGACAGCCAACAGATGAGGAGAGAAATCCTTGCCAGATATTTTTCCTATAAAAACTTAGTATATTCTAGAATACGTGAAAAACTAAAAAAATCCACCAAATACCCCAAACATAAAAATAGCTGAATCCATAAACAGGCCACAGTTCATAATAGCTAAGATGTGGTACCAGCTTACACTGGGAGGTGACAGACTGTGGTAGACATCTCACATTGTATATGTATCTAAACACATGATGTTTATCACAAATGTATATGATTTAATCTGCGAATTGTACTAAGTAAAAAATATGCCAACAATAGCAAAAAAATGAATTTCTAGAAAAAATAATGTCTTTGCTTCATTTTTGCCTTCTTCAGTTTGTCAGGCTGTGAACAGGTTATTCCTATCACGTTATCATTTTCACAAACAGAAAAACTGCAGACTACTAATGGTATGTGCAGTACCTTTTGTCTTGCAGTACTTTGGGGGACCATGGACAAATTCAAAAATTACTACAGAATGCATAGAACGTATAGGATTTTGCAAGCTTTTAATTTTTTCATTTTATTCTTACATCATCCTTGTAATAAGGTAATAGGCATAATTATATTCATTTAAAGATGAGATAAATAAATTTAACAAACACCAATTTATTTGTCCAAAGTTACACCAAATTTTTTATGTTTGAAACTGTTCTCCAACTAAGATCCAATATTCTTTGGAAGTAGTTTCCCACATCAAAATACGTAATCTAAAACCAAAACGAAACATTCTTACTACAAACAAAAACACCACTTGTAATGAGTTATTATATTTTTAAAGTTACTTAATGAGTGCTTTCTTAACATGAATCCTAAGGAAAATTCTTTTGGTAATGTATGTTGCAAATTCAATGTATTCTGTTGACTGGCTTTAACATTATATACTACTCTCACATTTAAAATAACATGTTTATATTTAGTAGTTAACTTGATGCATTTATAACTATAGTACTACAATGGAATCAAAATAAATATAACCAATAAATAAATCATTTAAAAAACTTACATGGCTTCTGGAGTCATGATACAGATGGCTTCTGAACATTGACATTTTATTGGATCATCGTATGTTAGTCCCAGACTAAGTCCCAGCATCTGGGTGACAATAACTGAAAATGCCTCCAAAGTTAAGTCCTTAGAATACTATAGTAGTATCAATGGAAATTCAAAAGAAAGTTATTTCATTGAATGATAGTAAAAACAATACCTTTATAATTATGAATATTTTTATTTTTAATCAAGTGCATGAGGACAGAGAGATATGATTCCTTGAGCAAGCAAGAAGCTGAAGTTCTGCATATAACATTTTACTGATACATTAAAAATACTGAGTTAGTGTCAGGCTTGTCAGTAATTTAAAATCAAACACCTAAGAAGATTTTTAGATAGATCCATAACTACATAAAGAATAAAAGGGCTAATTCGATGAAGAAATTTTTATCAGACCATAATCTAATGGCCAGATGGACCATAACTTCCAATTCTTCTAATTTCTTAAACAGCTCTGATATTCATTCAGCATATCCGATTGGATCTCCTCTCAGCTCATGAAATAGCCACATAACCAAATTATCCAATACAAGTGTATTGTCTGCTTCCTGCTAGGACCACCACTCACACAATGACTGACACCAGAGCTATTGAAAATAAGACTCTCTAGATAGCATTCTTAGATTACACTTATCACATACTGAAGCAGCACACTGGTAATTCACTGTATGCAATGACATCATGGTTTCTCAAATTACCAAAAGCTGTTACCAAAAGCTGGTAATAGCTAAGGAGCAGGATAAGGTGGAGACTTCCATCTTCAGGAAGATGAAGGCATTTAATTGCTAAAGTGCCATATAGATAATAAATATTTTCTAGTCAACTTGCAAAAATGCAAGCCTATCAAGTCCATGTCATCTACAGGATCTTGTTTCAAGATCATCTTAATCGTAAATCCAAAAGAATTGCAAATCCATGCTACTTTATTATCCAAATTCCAGAATTATGGTTAGAATATAAGTACTAGCAAAATCCTCACACTGAGCTCCTATCAAATGGAACAAGAGTTGTTAAGACAGAGAGGGCCATAGGAAAGCCCAGTAACTGCTCCCAAAATGCTGAATCAAAAGTAATATGGCATCCTTGAGGCACTGCATGGCCTACTGCCACCATCAAAATTTGCAATTGTAGGATTACCAATGTATATAACACCATCATTTAACATGCTTATTTGGTGTAAAAGCTAAATTAAAGATAAAGACTAACTAAAAATTACTACAAACTTAATTTTGTGGTGATGGCAATCCCTTTGGAGATTCCCAGTATGGTAACTTGAGTTGGGTAAATCAACATAGCCTCCAGCCACAGGTAGGCAGCAACTGTCCTAGTAATTCCTCCTTTTTTAATTCATCAGAAGTAAAAACAACCCAAAGCAGCTTGACTTCAACAAAAGAGTAGTCAGAGGGGATCAGTAAGTATGGCATCGCTATACCTTGCCTTATGGCTATGTCAACTCTCCTTTTCTTCTCTCCATGATAACGTAAGCCAGAGAAAACTTGATTGTCTTTATAGCTCCCAACATATTGTGTTGGTCCCACTGAGATGATAACAGTATGCTTTCTAGACCTAGTGCACAGGAAGTAGCAAGGATCATAAATGTTTTAGTAGGAGGTTGGCAGGCAACCCATTTTCTGAGGTTTTCTGTCTCTCAATAAATTCTTCCTATTCTTAAAAAATTTTAGTAAAGAGATGAATGTAGCACTTCAGTAACCTATCAGAATGGTCAAGTTTCAGAGGTGCAGTGATGTGGGACATATCAGGGTATCCCTTCGGAAGTTAGACACAACTGTGTGTACTTTATATAGGTGACTACAACAAAATGGGAAGTACGTGGCCTTATTTGGATATTAAAAGCAACATACCCATGTTTGGACAAACTTCTCTGGATAATGTGCCAGGTATTTCATAAAAAACCTCGTAACTTAACAATTGGCCCAGTAAAGATTGAAAATTTAACCATGAGACACTACATGACTTTAATCAGAATTCTCACCCTGAGGTAGATGTTATCTGATCCAGACAACATAAAACTGGATGCTCACAGCAATACTCTGTAGAAAGGTTTAAAAACAACAGGTAAACTGCACATGTCAGACTGTACATGTCCCTCAAACTCCCAGGGAATCATACACCTTTTGCTGTCTCTCTCACAATTCAATTCCTCGTTATGCACTGAATAGAAACCCATTGTGAGTAGAAAAGGAAAAAGCACAGGTCAGTCTACAAGTGGGCCTACAACCTATATACTAGCATCAGCAGAAGTGGATATTTTAGCTACTCAACTGAGAAAGTAGAAGCTGAGCATGGTAGTGCATGCCAGTTACTTGGAAGGCTGAGGGAAAAGCATTGCGAATTCAAGGCTAGACTGAGTAATATAGTGAGACCCCCATACAAAAAGAAAAAAAGCAAGCAGACTTTTCATGTTATTTAAAAGCAGAGATAGATTGAGGTACTGATTCATGAACAGTCAAAGGAACTGGTTGATGGACCAAGGACTCAGGAAGATTTCTTGGTAACAAGGAAGTCTAGGGGAACAATATAGAGCTGGACTTCTGAAAACAAAAACAGACTTAAAATATTCATTTTCTATTATTTGATATTCACTGTAGAGGAGACTGTAAAATATCAGGTCATCAAGATCTATTTGGGTGCATGTCAGTCATACTTGTTTCTCGTGACACCTCAGTGCTTACTCAAAGGCCAGTTTATAAATGTCCATTCCTGCAGAAATGAAGGCTTTGCAGGACTTCGTACACAAATAAGCACCCTACCTGTAGAAAGGTTTAGAAATAAGCCAGAGAAGAATTACTGCCATTAAGAAAGGCTGAGGATGAACCCCCACTATAGCACTACACTGGGTCAGCCAGTAGCGCTGGAGATAGGTCTATTACCCCAGACCATCCATTTACTGACACAGCAATGCTTGGTTCTCACATGTTCCAGGTCTGGATTTTCCTTGCCTGACTGCACTGCTTCTACCACACCACATTCTCTTAACCACAGATTCTTTTCTACATCACCACACGATGTCAGTGCAGACCAAGGTCACATTCTGTGGTATAATTTTCAAAGAAGTGGGTTCATTACCCACACAGGATTTACTAATCACACGTCTTGTAACCCAGGAGCACCTGGATTAACAGAGTGGTGGAAGAGCTGGCTGAAGTCTCACTTGTGCCACCAGCTAAAATTCTGAGAGGTGGGGGCAATGTCAGTAATGACACCCTAAACAAGCAACCAGAACTTGGTGCCTCATCCTCCATAGCCAGGAGGCATAAAACTGAAAGAAGGACAAAAAGATGACGAGTGGATCCTTTCACTATAAAATCAAAGAAACTATAAATGGAGGTTTTATTTTCTGTTTGGTGACAATGAATTGAGTATACAATATTTAGGTACTAGTACCTATGGGCAGAATGATTTCAAAAGGGAGAATAATCCCAAGCCCATTAAATTAGGTTAGAGCTTCCATGACCATTTTAGCCTTTGTACTAAAGCTACAACTATCAGGTGAACCTTTCCAAATAATGTTCCACTCTATAATATACTAACCACTTTTCTCCTTTGAACTTCTTTATGCCAAGAACTTTACAACCAACTGACACATATGCACACATATTCTCATCCCTATAGCAATTATTATGCTTCTCTTCTGTTCTCTTTACCAGAAACTATTATTGAAGTGGTTTACCTGTCTTTGAAACTGTATCAAATGTATGTTAAATATTGGGAGGAGGTCTGGCTTCTTTCACTAAATATTATGGCTCTGTATGTTTGTGTGGAGCAGTATTTCACAGCTTTATTATTGGTAAGCTATTACATTACCTAAATATAGCACACTTCATCTACTACTCTTGATAGGACATTGGAGGTGGTCCCAATTTTGTTCCGTTAGAAACAGTGTTCCAATGAATATTCTTTTAATAGACCTATCTACCTATTTCTGAACTTGTAAAGGAAACTGTTTAATTTTAGGAAATGTGCACATTTATTTTTAGTAGATACTACTGGTTTTCTAAATAGCAGTTTCCACTTCCATAAGCCACACATGGGACATGAAGTTGTTCTCCGTTCTTGCTAACACTTAATGTTACCCATCTTTTTAATATCATTTCTGGTGGGCTCTGAGACACTATTTCAGTAAGATTTAACTTGAACTTAATTTTTTATTAGTATATATTTGCAGTATATAATGATTATATTCATCAGCGGAAGTTGGTACATGTACATGATATGTCTGAATTCTTTCTTTTTATCCCCTTCTCCTTTCCCTCCCCTTTCCCTCCATTTCTTGGTCCCTATCTCTTTTAGAAAAGATATCCCTTTTCATGTTATCTTTTATTTTTCTGTATAATTTACTTATATTTTGAGTTTCTCAGATAAGAGAGATCATGTAATATATGTAAGCTTGAGTGTTTGCTTTATTTCACTTAACATAATGGTCTCAAGCTGTATTCATTTTTCTGCAAATTGGATATTCCTTTTTGTGAAACAGTTCAGGTACCTTGTCCATTTTTCTATTGTGAAAGCCTTCCCTCTTTATTGATTTGTAGCAGCACTTTATGTATTTGATATGCAAGTCATCGTCAGCCATCCATTGCAAATATTTTCACCACTCTGGTTTATCGTTTCACTTTCTTATATTTTTTTCATAAGTAGAATTTCCTTAGTTTAATGTGGTCCAATTTTATACAACTTTTCTTACATGATTAGTGGTTTTTGTGTCCACTTTAAGAAACTTTCAGGGGCTGGGGATTTAGCTCAGCGGCAAAAAGCGCCTGCCTGGCATGCGCAAGGTCGTGAGTTCGGTTCCCGGTACTGGAGAAAAACCAAAAAAAAAAAAAAAAAGAAACTTTTCCCTACCTTTACAGCCATGAAACTGTGTTAGTTTTTATCTCTCAGAACTTCTTTGTTTGACTTTGATATAAATCTTCAGTTACCTAGATATCACCTTTTGTATAGCTTCAGATCACAGAAAATTTCATTTGTCAAAACAACTGTCCATTAAAGAGTGCACTACAAAGTCACCACTGGAAAGAAAAGGACACCATATGCCTATACAATTTTCTGTTTTTGAACTCTGTTCTGCTCCATTCATCTATTTATCTATGCATCTTTCTCTGTCATAAAGACAGAGAAAGCTTTACCAGTTTTGATATTACTATAAAATGTCCCTCTACTTTATTATTCTCCAAATTTATCATAGCTTTGTAAAAGTATAAACATAACTAATTTGTGACATTCTCACTTCGTGTATCTTCCTATGACTTTATTCCAAACCTTTCCTCAGGTACTCAGTTCTAAATCTGTGGAAGCAAACTAAAAGTATTTTCATTAACAATGCAACTCAATGTTCTTTAATCATACACACTATAGTTAAAAATAAAAATCAATTTTACGCTTATTCTAGAAAAAAAACTAAGTAATTCTAAGAAAAGGTAAATGAGATTTAAATTTTTGTGGCAGTTGATTCTGTCCAGGAGAAGTAAGAAACGAAAAAACTAAGATCTCTATTAGATCCTGATATATGAGATAGTCTTCTCCAAGCATCAGAAAAGTATTAGAATGAGAAGCATTTGCTTCTTTATTCCGTATAGGATCCTCTTTATATATTCACAAAACTATGAAATAGTACTTATTGATTTAAATTTTCATCAACCTACAGACACAGTACAAAATTCATATTGAATAAATAATAGAATTTACATATCTTGATAATAAAAATTGTAATTAAAGTTTGAGTATTGGAAAAATCTATGCTGCAAAATTCGTTTTCTAAAAGAAACCAAGACAGTGAGAGCACCACAAATAGAAAGACACAAAGGAGAACATACAATTGAAATACTGAATGGTAAATGACAGATTACATGGTTTCTTATGTATTTATATATGTACATAATAAATTTGACATGGCTAATATAAATTGCTGTGTAATTTCAAAAATATATAGTACTAAATAGTAGTTTAAAAAATATTATTATGGTGGGAAATGGCTCAAGGAGCTACACAACCTTCAATAATGTAATAATTTTAGCATTAATTTCTATATGTAACTTTTATAAGTACTATAAATATTTAAAAGAGTTAATTCAGATATATTAAATCCATGTGGCAACTCCCAAAATAAACCTCATCACTATACAATTTTAACATGTACTAATTTAAAAAGCACAGATGTAAACAGCAGTATCATAAACAGTGTCTTTTAAACTGGGCCTGGTAGTGCATGCCTGGAATCCCAGCACTCAGGAGGCTGAGGTAGGAGGATCACTGGGAGTTTGAGGCCAGCCTGGGCTACATATTGAGTTCAAGACCAGCCTAAACTACACAGTGAGACCCTGTCTCAAAAAACAGAAAGAAAAGAAAAGAAAAAAAGTGTATTTTAATTACTGTCTGTGAAGTTTGAAATATTATAAAGGACTTTATTTTTATCCTGCAGCTTTTACATATAACAAAATTTTGCACAACAGTATAAAATAGTATGTATTGATTTAATTTTTCATTAACCATGGACAGGTTGATAGCTTTACCCCTATAAGCAAAATGTCATTTTATTTATAGAAATTTTCTTAAAAATAATTTTTCTAGTACCTTTCTTAAAATAAATTTTTCTTATTATAGCAGCTCTGTAACATAATTTCAAGTCAAGGATTGTGACACCTCCTGTCTTACTTTTGTTGCCCAGGATTGCTTTTGCTACTCTAGGTCTCTTCTGGATCAAGATGAATTTTAGGAATGTTTTCCCTAGTTCTGTGAGGTACGCTAATGGTATTCTGATTGGGATTGCATTAAACCTATATAACAATTTTGGGAGTATGGCCATTTTCACTATGTTGGTTCTTTCTATCCATGAGCAAGGGATATCTTTCCATTTTCTAATATCCTCTTTGATCTCCTTTTTTAGAATACTTTAATTTTCAATATACAAATACTTCGCTTCCTTTGTAGACTGATTCCTAAGTCCTTCATTTTTTTGGATGCTACTGTGAAGGGTGTGGTTTCTTTAATTTCTCTTTGAGTAAGTTTGTTGTTTGTGTACTGAAATGCTATTGATTTCTGATTTTTGACTTTGTATCCAGCTATGATACTGAATTTGGTCATTAAATCTAGAAATCTTTTGGTGGAGTTTTTGGGGTCTTCTGTGTAGAGTATCATATCATCTGCAAATAATGATAGTTTAACTTCCTTTCCTATCCTTATTCCTTTTATTTCTTTCTTGTCTAATTGCTCTGGCTAGTGTTGCCAGAACTATATTGAATAGCAGTGGTGATAGTGATAGTGGTACTGGGAAAAAAACATATTTGAGGACCACTGGAGCAGATTAAAAGATGCAGGCACAACTACAAACACACTCAGCCATCTTACCTTTGACAAAGGGGCCAAACATATTCACTGGAAGAAAGATAGTCTCTTTAATAAACAGTGCTGGAAAAACTGGCTTTCTACATACTGAAGACTAAAACTAGACCCATGTTTATCACTATGCATTAACTAAAGTCAAAAAGCATCAAAGATCTAATTATTAAAACAGAAACACTAAATCTACTGGAAGACAAAGGAGGTAGAAACCTTGAAGACTTAAGTTTAGGTAGAGTTCATGAAGAAAACCAACACAGCACAGAAAATACCAAAAAATTAACAACTGGGATCTCATCTTATTAAAAACCTTGGCATAGCAAAAGAAATCACTAACAGAGTGAAAAGACAACCCACATACTAGGAAAAAATATCAGGCAACAGTCCCTCAAAGGACTTATGTCTAGAACATATAAAGAATTTTTAAAAAATCAGACTCCCTAAATTTAAAGACTAGAAATGGGCATCAGAGATGAATACACACTTCTCAGATGAAGAAATACAAATGGCAAATAAATATATGAAAAAGTGTTCAACATTACTGGTAATTCAAGAACTGCAAATTAAAACAACACTGAAGCTCCATCTCACCCTAGAAAGAATGGCTACCATCAAGATATCAACCAATAACAAATGCTGGAGCAGCTGTGAGGAGAAAGGAACCCTTCTCCACTGTTGATGGGTGTGTAGACTAGAACAACCACTGTAGAAATCAGTGTGGAGATTCCTCAAAAACCTAGGATTAGAGGTCCAATTAGACCCAGCTATTCCCCTTCTGGGTATCTTCCCAGAAGAATTAAAAATATTATATCACAGTAATATATGTGCACCTATGTTTATAGCAGCACAATTTGTAATGGCTAAATCTTGGAAACAACCCATATGCCCATCAATCAAGGAATGGATCAAAAAGATGTGGTGTTTTTATACAGTGCAGTATTACTTAACCATAAACACAGATAAACTTGCGAGACTTTTATAGGAAATGGATGCCACTTGAGACCATAAATGAAATAAGTGAAATAAATCAGACTTACATGTATAAACGTATTGTCTCCCTGGTATGAGAAACTGAAAGAGTAAGTAAGTTCCAAAATGTACAACAGACATTGTGAAATGGGAAGAAATTGTTCAAAAGGAAAAAGGAACTAGGATGGGAGAAAGGGGAAAGGACAGTAGGGAAAGGGGGGAAAATGCAGTTACACCATTAGTGTCTGTCTTGGTTACTTTTCTCTCACTGCTGAGACAAAATACATGACTCCCAAAGGAAGGAAAGGTTTATTTAGCTCACAGTCTGCGGAGGTTTCAGTCCATACTCAGCTGGCTCCAAGGCAGGGTGGCACATGGCAGAGGGCAACAGTTCATTGCAGCAGAAGAGAGCAAAAGCAACAAGAGCAAAGAGAAGAGTGGCAGACTGAGCAAGCCTCTTTCCCTCCTTTATATTTTAAGCAGGCTAACCCCACCCGGTGTGGCAAGGGAACACTCAATCTCCATGCTGTCCTCTTGCACAGGCTCAGGATGAATACAAAGTAAGCACCTGGCTCCCTGCTGAATCACATAGCTAACCTTCTAAACTTCTCACATTGAAACAATGAACAACATCCCAGAAGGGTAAGGGCAAGTCCTTTTAACCCCAAGATGCAGAACTATTGAGTCATTTAGCCAAACCTCTAGATTCTCCAAGTTGACACAATGTATCAACCATAAGTGTCCCTTAGTTCATTAAAAAAGAAGATTTGTGTTAATATCGATTGGAGAAATTTTTGGGCCCATATCTTGGGCCCTGAGCAACTACTTTAAAGATAACATGTAATGTATTCTTATTATTCTCCTATTATTTTGTTATGAAATTTTGTTTTCCTTTTTTTCATAAAATTAAGGTACTATTTTTTTCATGATAAGCTACTCTATATATTGAGGAATGCCTGTGTATTTATAATATTTTTACTCCCATTTTAACTTCCAAATATAGCTGGCTGTACATGTCTACAAAATATTATTCTTTTCACATACTTCAAAATTTAAATGGTAATGGAAATAAAATGCAATTTCTAAAAGCAAACAGCATAAAATACACGCTAACAACTTGAGTAATTTTTTTTTTTTCTGGTACCAGGAATCGAACTCATGACCTTGCGCTTGCCAGGCAGGCGCTGTGCCACTGAGGTAAATCCCCATCCCTTGAGTAATTTTTGAATGTATTAACTTCTTTTAAAGGAGATTAAGTAATTACATACCAGTACAACTCCTGCAGAATAAAGGTTAACACACATCTTTCCAGGAAATGTTATTCCCATGTAATCTGGATGATCTCTATAACTAAATAAATAAATAAATATGCATTTAGAATTAATTTTAATGAACCATCTAAATGTGAGAATTATTGATAATTTAAGTCTTTGGCTCATAAACTGCTAAACTAAAACAAACTCAGGCATAATCTTTCAATTTGTCTTTAACTGTTTCAAATTTAGAAGATATTCTTAACTAAAGTGTATCAAATACTGTTTATTTTTAAGCTTATTCAATAGACCTAAGTCTGTGATGGCTTCATTGTTCTCATTACCAAAGCCTTTGTTCAAACATTTTTATCAAAAACGTGCTCTTGAAGGATACCAATAGAGTTTTAATGCATGGATAAGAATGTGCCACCTGCATGTAGAAAAATTCAACAGTTCCTCATAGAAATAACTTTATTATTTCACAGATAAATATTATTATGCAGCCTTAAGAGCCTATATAAATCTTTATATAATGCCACTACTCAAGAGCTTTACAAATTATCCCATTTGATGCTCAACACAAACCACTGAATAAATAATTTTTTCCACACTAAACAAATCAAACATCAGTTGGAAAATATAAGTATCAACTCTGTATACAGTAACTGACATCCAATGCTGTTTCAACGTCTAAGTATGTTTTACGCTGTTTCTTCAAAGTAAGTCCTCCAACCAACGATTTAACAAATGGCTCTCATTACAAATCTTAAGTCTTCTATAACTGCTCCTACTTTTGGCAACATCAGTAATAGCTTTGATGTGCCCACTGCACTCAAATTGGGTGTTAAGGTCTACTGTTTCACTTATTCAGTGTTTCTTGTTTCCTTTTTTCCAAAGGTTCCACCCCATTTCTAATAATCACTGCAACTGAAAAGACTGAAAAAACATTGTTTCCAGATTCTAAGCACATTGATTCTAAAAACACCACTTCCATAAACTGGAGTATTTTCCACCTCCTTTCTCTGCCTAATGAGCTTCAAAAGGCCCAACCACTTCTACTTAGCATTTAATTTGACCATTCTATAATACACTCCTCTACCTCTCCTCTTTCTCTCCTTGAGAGACATAATATACTTGCATTGCTTTTGCTAAACCCATTGTGCCTACTATAGGGTTTACAGAAAGCACACTGTACCACTCCAGCAAAAGAACACACAGCAGTCCCGACCTCCCCAACTATCAGAAACTAATGGGCTTCCTGCCTCAAATGCCTTGTCAACAGCACCTCACTTGCATAGGTCTAACAGAGTAAACTTATCTGCAGGCAACCCACAGACTGTGACTCCTGCACTTGTAGCCAGGCACAAAGGCTTAGATCCATCAACAAATCCAGTGTATGTCACAGAACAACAGCCCAGCTGGCAGAATAATCAGACAAACTTGACACCGAGGGCACTGAAGGATCTGTAGGTATTGCCAACATTAAATAGGCTGAAGAGGCTAAATAGACAGTACTATGCACAACTAGGACGGAAGACTATATAGCTTATAAAGTGACATTTTAGAACACATTTTCAGAAAAAAGGCTTAACTATGCAAGCAACTATATAAAAGTAGCAGAAGCAAATGATCAGCCTAACATGCAAATATCAATCAGGAACAGAAAAAACATTTTAAAAGCAAACTAACGTGATGCCTCCAGAAGAACACAAAACTCTCTAGAAAGAGATGCCAGAGAAAAGGGTCAAAAATCATACAAAATAATTCATGTTGACCTCATGAATTTGGAAGTATTCCCTCATCTTCAATTCTTTTGGAATAATTTAAGAAGAACTGCTATAATCCTTCTTTAAATGTTTGATAAGATTCAACCATAAATTCATCTGGCCAGATTTCCTTTGATCGGATTGCTAGTTCGTTAGATTATTTACTATTGGTTTGTTAGTTCTGATTTGTTCATAATTTAATCTTGGTAAGTCTCAGGTGTCCAAGAATTTATCCTACTTTTAATATTTCCTTTTCTACTTCTGATTTTATTTATTGGAGTCCTCTCTACTTTCCTCATTCTGGCTAACAATTTGGTTAATTTCAAAAATCAAGTCTCACATTTCATTAATCTTTTATATTGTTCCTAGTCCCTATTATATTTCTGTCCTGATCTTATTTTCTTCCTGCTAATAACGTTATTTTTGTTTCTCTACAGGTTGAGGTACATCATTAAGTTATTCGAGACCTTGCTTCTTTTTCAAAACAGGTGTTTATTGCTGCAACATATCTTCTTAAAATTGCTTAAAATTTCTTAAAACTGCCCCTTTACTACATTATTTCCATTTTCATTTGCTCAAGAAAGTTTGAAAATTTCTTTTTAATATCTTCATTTATTAATTGGTTGTTCATGAGCATGTTAATTTCCATGTATCTGTAACGTTTTTAATATATCTCCTCTCACTGATTCTTTGGGTTTTATTTCCATAATGATCAGAAAATATGCTTATTATTGTATCAGTCTTGTTCAATTTTTAAGATTAGCTCTGTGATCTAACAGATGGATCCACTCCAAAAATGTCCCATGTGCATTTGAGAAAATTGTGTATTGTATCTATAGCTGTTGTATGGAATGCTGCAACTTACACATTAAAATCTTCTTTTTCAGTTTGAAGGACTCCCTTTAACATTTCTGATAGGACAGGTGTGACTGCAGTGAATTCTTTCAGCTTTTTTGGTACAGAAAAGTCCTTATCTTTATTTCTGCAATGCGGCTTTGTTGAAAACAGTATTCTTGGTTGGCAGTCGTCTTCTTTTCCACCGTGAAGATAGCACCCTATTCTGTCCTGATAGGAAGCATTTCTGCTGAGTTTGCTGCCAGGTTGACTAGGATTCTTTTGTATGTGTCTTGTATCCTTTGTCTTATTGCTTCCAGGTTCATCCCTTTGTCTTTCATCTCTTACAGTCTGATTACAACGTCTTGGTGTAGTCTCAATTGTACTGACTTCTGGGCAATACCTCTGAACAAGTTTTCAATGCACCTCTCTCTCTCGCCTTCTTCAGGCACTCAAACTGTATGTAGATAGGCACCATCCCATTATTCCACAGCTCAATAACACTATTAATTTTTTTATTCTTTTTTCTCTCTTTTTCATTTTAGATAGTTTCTATTACAACGTCTAACTTTCATAATATTATTATCTTTTGTCTAACTGCTGTTAAACCCACCCAGAATATTTTCAGCATATACCCTGATTTTCATCCCTACAATATGATTACGTTCTCTTCATGCATACATATTTCTTTTGACATATCATATTTTTCTCTGCTTTCTTGAGCATATATTATATATGACTGCATTAAAGTCCTACCCTACAGATTCTATCACTGGAAAATTTTCTATGATAGTTAAAAAGTATTGATTTTCCTTCTCATTATGGTTTTTTTTTTCTTATTTGTATATCTGATAAGTTTTAGAAGGCATAAGAGATTATGAATTACATTTGATTAGCACAGTACATTATCAGGTTAATAATATCCCTTAGTTATTGCAGGCTAATCAGGTCCACAGTCTCCTGAATGAGTGTATAGCAAAGGCTAAATAAAAAGAGGGAAATGGAATGATTTCAGGGCTCCAGGAGGATCAAAGCCCTCTCACAGAATTCAAGATTCTCTCAGGGCTAAGACCAAGACCTTCTCTGGGTCTCCTGTATTTATTTGGTTATCAGAAGAAGAGAGGAGGGTACTCAAGAAGGGTGGAACCATTTAAGGATTTCTCCAAATAAGGTATTAAATTAATCCACTCAAGAAGGGCGGAATCACTCAAAGACTTCTCCAAATAAGGTATTAAATTAATCTGCTTAAGAATGAGATGCCTGAGGCTATAGTCTTTATGCAGTTGAGATCTGATCCAGGTGTCCTTGGCAGTGAGCTTGTTTTATCCTTTGAGGCTTTCTGGCTTCATCCACCACTAGAGGTTTTAGGAGGGATTAGTGGCTCACAGAGGTTCACTTACTATGAGTCCGCCACTTCCAGATAAGGAGCCTAGGCCTTGGACAGGTTCACAAGTGAACATGAAAAGCCAATGGATTAATTTAAATCCTGCTCAGGTCTGCTTCATAGTGGTCTCCATCAGTACATGACTGTGTTTACTTAAATACTTAGTGTTGTTCTAGGTCCAATTTAAATTATGTGAAAACATTTAGACCTCAATGATTTCTTTCAGTCTTTGTAACAGAAGCCTACAGCAACCTTTAGGCTATAGACACTTTTTCTCATTGGTGAGGCAAAATCTTTTTGTGTATTCTATGCATGTCCTACATTTTAAAGTGCTTTTTCACTTTTATGAGAAGTGAGAAAAATTTATTCTTCATCCTCTATGAACGCCATGTATTCTTCTGGTTATTCTTTCTGAATGTTTATTTGCTGAAGCTTCTTGTAGTTCTAAACGCTTATGCATTAAGACTCAAAGAGACTGGGGAATGCTCCTTTGTTAGAAAAATATTTCAAAGGTTTTACTTAGTACATATCTCAAAGATGGAACACAACAAGCTGGAACTAGAAAAACTATCAGGCACAGACACAAAATTCCTAATGAAATCTACATTCTTTTTCAGACAAAGTGTCAGGAAAGTGGCAACAGAGACCAAAAATAAAATAAAATAAAATAAAATAAAATAAAATAAAATACCACAAAACAAAACAACCCTCTCCACACTCCCACTGATGCCAGCAAAATCTAAGTGTAGTCCCTTTGTTTCTGTCTTTACCATGCTATAATGAAGTACTCCAAAGCATCATGTCCTGCCCCTACTAAGGCAGTGTCATAGAGAACTATGTTGGAAATCCCACAGAGGATTAACAAGCCCTTCCCTCATGTTGTCACTGGGGACCCCTTGAAGACTTGGGTTTCCAGTTTCACAGGAGAGTACTAAGGTGTATTTACATTATAAACAGGAGAAGCTGAGTGAAGTCATCCAACTTTAAATACTACCCACAGTAACAAGCCATTCCATCTGGGGATAGGGGAGGCCACACAGACAGCAGTAACTGCACTTCCTACCTCTCCAGGCAGGAGGTATCAAGAGAGGCCTTGTGGAGAGCAAGAACTCC